TTTCCCTATGAACTCTACCATCTATTTGAAACTTGATGTCCAGTTTCTTTAATGACATATTTGTCTTATTTGAGAGGCAAATGAAATTGAACTGAGTTGGTAATGGGGTTAAGAAAGGAATAACTTGCCATTGTCCATTAATATCTACTTAACTGGAGACTACATAGTTCCATGATGGGGCATTCTAGCAGAAAAGTTCTGCTCTATTACTGGAGCAAACCCCTGGTGCTCCAAGGAATATAGTTAAGTCGTTCTAACTGTCCATGTGCCAGATCAGAAAGAAATGCATCTAAACGTATTAGAATTGAGTGATTCTCTTCTTAACTGTCCAGTGATGTAATAATCCACAATAGATATGTAATGAAAAACAATAATGGACATCTCTACCATAATTCTGTAACAAAACATTGGCATTTATGATGAAGCTAAAAGAGAGTAAATTCCATTTGCTGGTTAGAGGACTAGTATCTGTTCAAGAGACATTTTAAAAGTCAAGGTAGGGATAAACCATTAGTGCTTTCATACAGAGAACTGAAAAAAAAATCAAAAGAATTTAAATATAACTGCTCTACAACTTGATACTAGGTCTTGAACAGTTCTCAAAATTATTACCATAGTTGTTTCTTTTTACCCAACTGTCTATCTATACTCTTTGCTGCTGTCTCTTTTTCCTCAGAATTTCTGGAAACTTTTCAAGAGGAGATATGGCACACATTATTGGCATGCTAAAAAAACGGATTTTTCCTAGACCCAAAGTAATCCCCATAAAAATATTTAGAGAAATTTCTCATGAACTAACATTCCCCTAACTCTGAGAGTTGCTGCAATGACACAATTTAATAGACAAAAGACACTATATTTATACCCAAAGACTTATATTTTCATTATGCATTTTTAACTATATATACATATATATGTATATATATGTATAAGCTATGATTTATAAATATAGTGTGTGAGTATATATATGTTTTCACATATGTAGGGTTTATAGATTTAGTAAATAAAAATTCAGAATACCCAGTTAAATTTAAATTTCAGATAAACAACAAATGTTTCTTTTTAGTATAAATATGTCCCAGATATTACATGTCCTAAATATCCCTTAAAGAGACTGGATTTCAAAGTCATACACTCATAATGTGTAAGGTTTAGAGGTACTGTATATTTTTAGATAATTTAAAATATTCAAACTTGCTCTTTTTGACAGAAGTCTTTCCTTCTGATGAAAAACACCTGCAACTGTTACTGAAGCTTCACAGTTTCATTTTATGTACCTGACCTTTCCCTTTTAATATGGCTGTTAATAGAGACAGACCCCCAAAAAGGTACTATGACAGACTGAGGATGCTGGCCTGATAATTACACACAGCAGAGGCTTTATTTTTCTACAGATGACAAAAATCACAGTAGCAATGAGAAAAATCAGGGAATCAAGGTAAGCTATTTAGGTACTCTTTTGTTTTTCCACTTAAGCCTTCTGCAACTTCTGTGCACGATGGCTAATATTTAACCTCAAGGTTCTAAAGCCAGTTCCAGTGCCATGGGACGTTAATGCGATTCCAAAGCAGAAGACTAAGGTCTCTTTTGAATGATTACATAGCCAGAGGTTCTACAATTTGTTACATTTTTAAAATTAGAAATCTTACCATGGATCAGACCCACGGTCCTTTCAGTTTAGTGTCCTCTCCTGACCAGCGGAAAACACGACCTATGCTTCAAGGCCTTCATTTTTAACTTGAAAGCAATGCCACAGAACAGGAAAATCATCCCCCAAACATTCTACATTCTTTTCATAACCCGATAAAAATTGGTCATGATTCTCTTTAAGAACTGATTTGCAATTTTATCCTATAACATCTCCTGGGTTGCTTAAAATCCTGCATTAAATATTGCCTTATTAAAATTTCCACTATTTTTGCAGCCATAAAACTCTACCATAGCTGATTTTTGAGATTACTACTATACCCCTTTTAAACACAATATGCAGCATATCTTGTGTTTAGTAGTAATTATATTGATTTCAGCTAGAAACTTTCACATACCCTTTGAGATAAAAGACAACGGGACGCTTCAAAATATCCCCTGGGAATCGCTGCTTCTGGATTAGCAGTTTCCCAGGGTTGGGACAGCCGCTTAGTCTGGAAATGTTCAAGATCAACTCTAGGGACCATCAAATAAATAAAGAAAATCCCTGGGTTACATAGAAATATCCTTTTCTTCCCTGGATAAATATATGTTATCTGTTGGTATTTTGGTAATCCGTACGCTAGAATACGTCCTTGCAAATTGAGAAGAATCTACCATAGGTTAGAGATTTGAACATATTTTTAAATCATAAAGGATGAATACAGTAGTCTTAAGTAATTTTATCCTCAAAAAAGACAGTTATACTTGTTGTGCATTTTGTTTTTCCTATTATTAGCTACCAAAGTTTAGAAGAGATGGATGGATGCTTTGCAGAACAGCGTACCCCCAGATGTACAGGTTTGTTGGGTGCATGAAACTACTTATAAAAGTAGTTTCAGAGTTAGATGCATAGGTTGTACATGAAGTAGAAGGGGTTCTGACTACAGGATGGCCTTACCGGTGGGGTCTAACAGCACAAATAAGACTCTAACAGCAGACCCAACATCATAATAACATGACATAGGATCAACTAGGTCTGAAAATAAACTCCTATATTGTAACTTAGACTAAGAAACTTGGCAAGTTGCTGAGTTTCTTGGAGACTAAGTTTTTCTATCTTTAAAATCGGAAGGTTAGAAACAATATATATGCAGTGGTTGGTAAGGTGTCTGAGACTTGTAGAATTTGTACTTAAAACTGAGTTTTTCTCTGAATTTTCAAAGAATCTGAGCTCTTGGCACCTTTTTCACTTGGCTTGCATCTGGGTGGAGGTTTTGGTTGGCTCTTTAGCACCTAAACTCTTTTCTTTTCATTGTTGACAAGAAATTAACTAGAGAATTTCCCTGATATGCTGCTGCAGCAGGTGTGATGCAGTGCTATGTCATATAGATTACGTGACACATGAGTTACTCATAGAAATTCTGGCTCGCTGGTTGACATTTAGATTATTCATCAGTCTAAGGAGTGTAAACCAGAATTGCCAGAAAGATAGATGAAACCTGTCAGATAAAGCCATAACTCAAAATGGCCTTGTGTTAAAGCCATACCTTTGAAAAGTTTATTTTGGAGATGTCCAGCTATTTCAAATCTAGCCTTTCATGATTTCATGACTTAGCCAATTTCCTCAAATTAAGAGACTTCAGAAAAAAAAAAAAAAAAAAAAAAAAAATTAAGAGACTTCAGAACTCTTTATGTATTAACCAGAAGCCATGAATGGCCACAGATTGCCTGACATAAGGACAACTGTACCAAGTATGCATTTTACTCAGATTTCCACAGTTCAGGTCAATCCAGCAGCATATCTGAATTCATTGAATATGTGGCCAAGGTGGGGATGAGAGGAGTACCAGCAATATGTCAGGAATGAGAAATACAACCAAACAATGGCATAATGACTAAGCTCCTATGCCCCAGACACAACAGATATGGCAAATGGTTGAGTTTTAGACACAACATGTATTCACAGACATGCTCCCAGCTGAGTGTGCAGTGGCTATTGTCAGTCTCTGCAGAGCTTAGATTCTGGCCCACAGGATGCAGACTTTTCAAGAGAAAGGTAAGCTGAATACCCCGATGTCGAACCAAAACAACAACAAAAATGTGCTTCATAGTTCTGCTCACGAGGAAAGAACATTTGTCCCCAAGACTTCGTTCGGTGTTATCTGATTGCATTTGGGGAAGGCTCTGGTGCAAGCTTCTGCTGCTTCTGAGGGTACTTTGAAGAGCCACTGTGAACCAGATGGGAATTTCTCATCAAAGCTAACAATGAGAAAAACTAGAATTGGTCATGGGAAGCACCTATGTGTAACACGGTACAGTGTAACAGGAAACGGGATTCTTGGGTTCTAATAGATGTGCCATTAACAATATAGTTGGTCCCCAACAAATTAAGTTTCCGAGCCATCATGCACATGATCCAACACATATTTATTTGAATGCCTAGAGCTATTCTAAATGCCAGAGCTACAATAATGAACAAGGTAGACACAATTCATGTCACCAATAACCTTACAGTCAAAGAGAGGAGATTAGTAAAAACCAAGTTCTACAACAAAAACAACAAAAAAAGTCAAAAATCATAAATTGTGACAGCAAATTGTAAAACAAATAAGCTACTGGCTTAGGATAATTAGAGAAGACCTCTCCAAAGAGAAAACATCTAAGCTGAGGTCTGAAAAATAAGAAGGTCGAGCTCTAGCTTTAAAATTCTATGATTAGGGCCTCCCTGGTGGCGCAGTGGTTGGGAGTCCGCCTGCCGATGCAGGGGATGCGGGTTCGTGCCCCAGTCCGGGAGGATCCCACATGCCGCGGAGCGGCTGGGCCCGTGGGCCATGGCCGCTGAGCCTGCGCGTCCGGCAACGGGAGAGGCCACGACAGTGAGAGGCCCACATATCGCAAAAAAAAAAAAAAAAAAAAATTCTATGATTATATGTTTTGTTGGCAAGGCATAAAAGAATATAATAAATTACCCTGTGGATTTCCTTTTAATTATTATTATTATTATTTTTAAACTTTTATTGGTGTGCAAAATACACACAAAATAGTGTACAAAATGACCATACTTGTTTAACAAGCACTCAGGTAGGAAAGGAGAATATTACCAGCAAAAAAATCCATTTTGCTCTCTTCCAATCATTAACCACCGCATTTCAAAGGTAACATCCTGATAAAAAATATTAGTTTTTCCTGCTGTTGTTCTTTTATAAAAATGTAAACATACATCATACTAATCTTTTGGTTTTCCTTTTAATTACTATTTTTAAGTCATTTGACTTTGAAGTAAAGAGAACAGATTTGATTCTAAGCATCATGATTTAGTGGCTGAGGGTCTTGGACACAGCTTGTAGCTTGGTTTCACATTGAATATGGAGATATAATAATACTTTCCTCTTGGTGAGCATCAGAGGAGATAACATAGGTGAGAGTGCTGTGTATGGAGCAAAGGGCTCTTCAGATAGGTTTCCTTGCCATGCTATCTTGGATCTGGCAACACAAAAATAACAAACAGCTATACACTTAAAGAGAGTGGCCCTTTACGTAATGCTCTATCTTGGCACCGCAGGAAGCTTTGAGAGCAAATAAGCTGTAAGTGAAGAAATGGGCCTTAAAAATCTCTACACTGCCCCATAATTAATGTGCCCTCAGGCAAAACCAGAGTCCTTGGGAAAGTGCAGTCCTGGCTCATGTAGTTAGATTTGAAATGTGTTCAAAGAAGAAAAATCTCTCCTGAATCATCTCTTACCAGTATCCCCTCCTTCTTCATTACCTTTTACCAAAAAGCTCAATTTTACTCATTTTAACTCAATATATTTATTTTACTTTAAAAAAAAGAGAATCCAGTCTTGCCCAGGGGTTCATGTTTTTGTTTGTTTATTTTGGCAAAGTTCTCCTATTTTAGGATTTATCAAGGGCCCTGAAAAGCATTTTTTGAAAAGCAATCTATGACCTTTCTCAGTTAGAAATTTTACTATTTTACTATGCAGCATTCAACAATGACCTTACCTTAATGCTTCAAACATACAAAAAAAGATTATTAGTAGAGGAGTATTTTTAATTATTGCAAGCAAAGTAAAATGAACATACTGAAATTAAATTATACTGATTTTAAAGTGTTTAAAAAATAATACTGATAAATCTTGAGATATTATCAGGGATGCTCCCATGCAATTGGTAAGACAGATGCAAATCAATGTGGTGCAATGTAGATCTTAAGTGTGTTAAAATACAGCAGGGAAGAATTCAGTGGCAGTTCATCCTGTCAAGAACACAAGTAATGTACCAGCCCTGGCCAAGAAAAACATGCCCATTGCATCAATAAACGCAGATCTAGCTAAATCATTCTGACTCAATTACGGAATGGAGCCAGGAGCAGTGATCGCAATGGACAGGGACTGAGGCAAGGAGAGCACTGTGCCCTTTCATCTTGGTGGATGGGTAGCATCTGGTCAGTGAAACTGACCCTTCTGGGCTATCTACAGCAGGAGTTAGAGTCCATCTCATTAGTGACCCATCAGAAAGTCTCTAGCTTCTCACAGGCAAATGGGTGTGCAAAAGGATACTGGAAATGTACATTACCCCTGGATAGTCTAAGCATGTTCCATGAATTTAAAGTTTTTGAAAATGCAAAAAAATGTTTCCATCTTTAAACAGTGCTGTGCCCACCAGTGAGGTCATCACCTGTCCTAGCACTGGTCAAAACCAGGATAAGCTATCAAAACTCCCAGTGCCAACAAATTTCCTAAATGACCAAATCAAGTAGAACTGCAGAGAGCTTTTCCAAATAAAACAAAACCAAAATCAATTACCACCAACTGACAAAAGCCTTCATCTGCTTTTCACTTCCCTCCTGACAGACAGAAGTAGAGCTATGCCTCCTTAATAATTTTTAGCCCAACTACCACTACAAGCAAATGTGGAGCCTCAAAAATGCAAAGCAGAATTTCAGGACTCAAGAGCTTGCAAACTGGAGCAGACATAAATAAAACCCCAGATAATGAAAATGTTAGCTATGATATTAACCAATAAGGTAGCTAAGAGGATGGTCTATGAAAATTTGATCCAAGTCAGGGTAGCTAAGGCAGGGTTTCAAAAAAAGAAAGCCAAGAAGTCTAGCAGACCAGGAGTAGGTTCACAGTACAGGGCCTGATGATGTATTTGAGCCAAAGGGAGGTTTTCTAGGCAACAGGATACCAAGAGAGGGGTAGAGCCAACATTTCTTCATTCTCGGGTTATAATAAAACTCTTCCTTGTTTTCAATAGATCTTCTGATATCGAGGGTAGAGAGGAAGTTGGAAGTCCACTGTCGGGAACAACCAGAGCTACTAAAATTTTAGTCTATTTTTTTCAACTCTGTCAGTTCTTTTCCTATACTCAGCTGATTATCCTGGTTATTAAATAATCTCCTCTCCCCCCTTTCGCCCCCAGCAGTGAAATCTCCTTTTACATATTTTAACTTTTAAATTCAAGTCTTCTGTATCTTATTATAACGGCTAAAAAACTAAATTTTCGTATCCATCCAGGAGTTGAAAATTTTCTTTTCATTTCCTACATTATATGCTAAGAAAATTTCTAACTTTGTCCTACTTGATAAAATAAGTAATGATTAGCAATGGGTAAATATCAAAAGAGCTAAAGTTAGACTATCAAGGATATTTTGGCATGGAATGATTTCCCTTAATAAACATTATCCACTAGTCCCTTTTTATTGGTGGAGGATATGTTCCACCCCCAGTGGATGCATGAAACTGAAGATAGTACTGCACTCTATATATACAATGTTTTTTCCTATACATTCATACCTATGATAAAGTTTAATTTACAGATTAGGCACAGTGAGAGATTAACAACAATAAATACTAAAATAAAACAATTATAACAATGTACTGTAATAAAGGTTACGGGAATGTGGCCTCTCTCTTGAAATATCTTATTGTACAAATTTAATGCTTTTTCCGTCTCAATTAAGTACTTATCACACAGCGTGGCCGTGACTTTTGCAGCTTGAGGAGCAAAACTGGCACAAATTTCTTTTTTCTTTTTCACATTTTCACCAATAGAAGATTTATTCTTACCATAGATCTTAGCAAGCTCAGCATATGATTTTTTTCTTTCCTTATTAAGTTGAGGACTTTTACCTTTTCACTTAAAGGAAGCACTTTATAACTCCTCTTTGGCATATCTGAATGGCCAGCAGCACTACTCTAGTGCTTTGGGGCCATTATTATGTAAAATGTAAAGTAAGGGTCACTTGAACACAAGCACTGAGATACCAGGACAATTGATCTGATAACCCCTCTGG